TGCCTGGTAGAGAGGAGCAGACAGGGTCCCGTCTTGCACAACATTTGCTCCTTCAAGGCACTTCTTGTTTATGCAAGCATAAGCACTAGGAAGAATGTGGAATATTCTGGAGAAGGAAATGCAGAATGGGCACAGATTCACAGACAGAAAGGAAAGTTTTGACATTCTGAAAAAATCCTCTACAACCAACTCTCCAGACTCGCTGAAGCACTGCACGTCTGCCCATACAGTATTTTCTGTTTTCAAGAACGAAGCATAGGTACACTGCCACTATGACCTGCTTAGTAAAAAGACAGAATTATTGAAAGAAAAACTTTAAAATAATGTGGATGAGAAAACAATCAGAAGAAGAATCACCAATCTTCATTAAGGCCATAAAAGACTGCTGCAAGAATTTTTACTCTGACATCTAAAAAGAGAAGGATGCCTACCATCAAAAATCACAAATAAATAAAGATGACAGCACGTAAGAACAGGAAGCAGAAACTTCCCACCTGTAAGGAAGGTACTGGCAGTGAAACGAAAATGAGTTGGCTAAAGTGTTAAACTACAAGGATATCTCAGGGCTTCTGACTGTATTTTTTTTTGCATGAAGATACATTCAGCTTGCCTTTCCTAGGCCATCAGATACATAAGATAAAATAACCCACTATAATAATCTGGCCCACGGAAGTATTGAAATCAGCAAATATATGACTTTTCCCAAGGAAATAATTTCAGCATATTACTGCATTTCAGTATGTTACATATTACTTTGTAAGTGAGGTTGCTTCCAATTAAGCCCCTCAGAGTGCTCCTAAGTTGATGGTACAGTAAGAACTCATGCTCCAAAACATGACATATCTATGAAAGAACCACTAGAAAAGAGCTACGGGTCACATGCTTCAAAAAACTAACAGCCACCTCCAGAACCCATCTTTTGCTATGTTCGGCAAAAGCCTTACCATTCTGCTGACACCCAGTCGCCTCCGGGTGCCAGGCGATGGGGGTTATGAGATGCACCGTCAGTCCACCCCACTGCAGAAATTCGGAGATGCCTTTGCAACCCCTTCAGCGCCTGGAACAAAGGCTGGTGCTGCAGAGCCTACACAGAATCACAGAATGGTTTGGGTTGGAAGGGACCTTAAAGAGTTCCAACCCCTCTGCAAGGACACTTTCCACTACATGGGGCATCATGGCATTTGGAGCAGCCAGTACTATCCAATCCTTAAGAAATAAGCAATTCCTTCTCACTATTGAGTTCTCTGCTTACCACTCCAGTATTTTAGGAAGACCAAAGAAAAGACAACATACCAGTGACTAACACAGAGAGAATCTACACAGAAACACAGAACAGGTTTCTACTGAGGCAAGGCCTCCTATCAGCCATGTTTGACTCCACTGCAGCCCGCAAGAAGAACCTTTGCTTCGCTATTTTAAAAAAAGCTCTTACTGTACCATTCTTTTGTACAAATAGCCAGCTTAGTTATGAGCTTTCTGTCCACACTTAAGAGAAACTGTAATTGTTGGCTTTCAGTATGTTCCACCTCAAGCATCTTTTACAAACCAGAAAAACTGTTGTACCAACATACACCGCTGTATCCTGAATATAAAAGCACAGACTCCAGGAAAAACTGTCCAAACACTAACCCCATTGTGGTAACTTACCTGTATCACTGTTTCTTGCATGCCAAGGTAATAGGCCTCTCAAAAATACCTTAGATAGACAGAAATCTTGAACATCTCACTTGTAGCAGGTTTTCCGGGTTGTCTACCTTTTGTCAGATTAACTTAGTGTCAGCATTCACTCATTCACTCCACTGACCTTTTCCAGTAAGATGAATGCATAGACTTTGCTTCTCTTTTAAAGCCATCTTGATGCTGATTAGTGCATTCAATTTAAATAGAATATTTTTAAAAACTTAAATGTCCAAAACATCAGGAGCCTGACAAGCTAGCTAGCTTGTCATGCCTGTTTCTTATCAACCAAAGTCATGTCACTGGCATTATCTGGAAGTAGTGTTTGTATTTAAATCTGTTAATGAGAGCAGAAGATACTGTCATCAAAAGGAAAACATGCAGTAAGAGCTCATGCTTTGCACTGTGTGTTACTAACAGCCTGCAAAAATGAATGGACTTCCATATGTCTACACTAGCGTAGCCTACTCTGCGATAATGTCTATTTTTGAAACTAGTTTCCAAACCTGTAGCCTCAAGGGTTCATGGAAGGTAGACGAGGTCACATGCACTCCTTTACAAACCTCAGAATTAAAATCAACTTCAAAGTGCAAAGCTCAAAGTAAATAAATAAGTAAACAGATAAAATTACCCCAAGATTCATCTTCTAAAATCCAACCAAATCTCCAACCCAATCTCACAACTTTCTGGGGAAAGGTTCATGACTTTGAATGCATCAGACCAACAGTTCTAGCTACCATGACCCAGGACAGCAAAGCAGGGTGATGATAGGTGCCCATGGTAATATTTAAGATGGTTGGGGCAGGGACTGTGGCTGCCTGTGATTGCTTAGGAATTGTGATAATAGAGACAGTTCTGTAAATATGCACTCCCAATTCTCCACCTGGCTTTTAAATCAGAATGGAAGCACTTACTGCACACTAGTTTACACAACTACTCAGTGTGCAAGGCAGGGACAAATCAAGTCCTTGACTACTGAACAACAACAAACCCTAAGCAATGTTTTTTCTACCTCTGAATAAACTTAGATGCACAGCAACAGGTCTGGTCACATCAATATTTGTCCAGAGAGGACATTCCCAAGGAGCTTTTCACGTGCGCCATTCAGCCAAAAGAATAAGGAAAGGTTCCATCCTACACACCATTGCAAAAGCTGAACATTATCAGCCTTGCCCTAAAAGGGTAACAGAATGAGAGATCTTGTTCTATGTTTGTGATTTCCAACCAGAGCAAAATGCAGTAGTAATTCTCTCTCAGCTGAAATGAAACAGGGACACTAAGTGAACAAAACAAGTTACGCATATCTCACATACAGGACTTTACAGAACAAACCAAAAAACCCTTCTCCAGCTGAATACCATCTTGAACGCCAACCTAAACATACACAAGAAATCCAAATAGCACTGACATAAAAACATGGAATGCACAGCCACTGAAGTTTCCTGGTCTGATTTTTCCTGTAACCCTAGAACAACTGAGACATGAAGCATAGTCAGCAGGTGACAAAAGGGAGATTACTGCATTTTTAACCACTGTAATCTGGATGCTAGGAAAATAATTTGCCATGCTAAAGCCAAACTGTGTCCACTGTGAATAAGTCAGTGGCAGTGGCTTTAGTACAAAAAAGCTAATTTCTCTGTTCACAGTATCATCTCCTTCGAGCCCTCTCTTAAAGCTCAAATATTTTTCATGAAAACATAAACGTATTTTCTATCATCGTCTCGGCACATACTCCAACTCTTAACCCAGAGTTCACCAAGTGGCTGCACCTAATGACCATTAAAGCATACTTTAATGGACCAATGAGACAAAGAAACATTATTAGTCACTCAGCTCTGCAAAACATAGCTGATCTCTACCTTCAGGTGACAGAAAAAGAAAATAAAAACACATATTATGTAACTGCTTATAACACCAGAACATGTATACAAAAAGCAGGGACAAGGGAGAACATTTTAATGAGATGGCAGAGGTTAGAGACTCTAGCACCTCACACACGCCTCTACGATGGAGGCAAAGCTGCTGACTGCACACACTACACCCATGCATTTGTAGCTACCGGTCCATCTAATCGCCCCAAAACCACCATTGTGGTCCTGTTATTGGCACCAACAGATAAAAACACAGAACAAAACCAGAATGGCTAATTGAAGGGGCTGCAGAAAGGAGGGGGCTGCAGAAAGGAAGGGGCTGCAGAAAGGAAGCCTTTCATACATGTAACTTCGCAATCTTAAGAAAGGGTAAAAAAGTGAAGAGGCAGCTGAGGAAAGATGCTGAACTCTGAGAAGGTGGAAGGAAGTCACTGCGTAAGAACTATTTGTAAATTGTTACTGGGTTTTCAGTTTTGGGAGAATAATTGGAAGTCTGACTTTCATCCCAAAAATCTGATTATAAGCCACGTCCATCTAGCTCCTAACTGAAGTGGCATTTGGCAGAAACCACCTTAAAAAAATTCATAATACAAGCAAACTAACATCGCCCTTTTTACAATGTTGAACAAGGCATCTTGTTTTGTGTTTCTAGTATGGTGTAATAATGTGAATCTTTAGTCCAGATTAAGTGGGAAATGAAACAAATTCATTTAACTTAATTGTTTGAGGTAACACACCTACCCTAGTGGAAAATGATGGCACATTTGGAACACTTGGATATCAATTAAGTTGAATTAAAAGCAAAACAGCCCAGATGGGTGACACAGATTATACAAATTCGTATCAGTAAGATGGTGAAAGAGAAGCCTTTTTATTTTAAAGTAAAACAAAATATTTAAATCCACCAAAACAACAAACACGTGTTATCCAGAGAAGTTTACATCCAGATACATTAGCAGAACAGGCCATGGGAAGGTTTCAGTTTTCCTCACAATTCCAGTCAAAGAGACGGGGGGGGGCAGGAAATCAACAATCACAACACACACCCTTGCAGCAACATAGACTGACTTCCACTGCTTTCGCTAAGCCAACCATGACTTCCAACTAAGGGCTGAGTCTCAGCTGACAAGTTTACCTCTGGACAACCACACTATTTTCTGTGCAACTGAATCGGGAAGTAATGAAGTGGGAAACGCTGTTCATCTTGAACTACCACCCTAAGAATGGGACAGTCCAGCTGAACAAAAGTCTAAGTCACTAGGTTCAAGGGTGAACAGGTTCTTGTCCTCTTAGACACTCATTTACAACTCCAGACACAACAAAAAGTTATCACAGTCAGAAAGCAAATCAATCCTTTTTTTCTTACATAAAATAAAATAAAATGACATAAAATAACATAAAATAAAATAAAATAAAGTAAAATAAAATGAAATGAAATAAAATAAAATGTAAACTGCCTGTATTTTCCAAGGGCAATACCTTAATTACACTACACTTCAAGAGCCACTACAGTTAAAAAGCAGAACACAACAGCTTTGTTTCTGAGTCAAAACACAGCATCCAGAATAAACATGGGAGGTTGCCAGGTGTATACACCAGGTCTCTTTTTAAAAATGGTAACTCTCAAGAGTTTATGTTGTTGCACTAACACATGATGGAGAGAAATCTTGCTTACATTTTAAAGGCCAGACTTTAAAGTTTTTTTTCCTTAATCTGCTAATATACATACATATATACTTAAGTCCATGCACGGTTTGATTGAAATCTGTGTTAATTGCTGTCACAGATGAAGTTAAGCGTACATGCATGATCACATGTAGAACTGGAGCTTGACATTAGAAAAGCTTTTTGTCTCCATTACTAAACTTCAGGAAACATCCATTATTCTGGGCATGACTCCTGTGATCCTTGGTTAATCTTACACGTTTCCTCTAACACCTGTAAAAACTTCCAGCTTCCCCTGACATCTTCAGCATGCAGAACAGATTTCCAGCTCACACATCTGAACCATTAGAATTGCAGAGGGCATGACACTAACTTCTGTTCCACTTAGTATCAAAATAAAGGGATACTGCCCTAGAAATGGGAAAAGAATGTACAAGAGAAACATTTTGGGCTAAGGTACTGGAATAACGGGATACCAACCAAGACACAGGGGTATAAAATTCTTTAGAAAGGGACTGGGCTCCTGAGGAAAAAAAAAAAGTTCTCACTGCCTGTTGTCAAACTTTCCCTTCATACTTCACATTAGACCTCACAAACAAGGGTTGTAATCATGTCTGATCTACACGGTCTCTTCTACTTTCACCCACAAAGCTGGAGTTTTTATATCCAGTTAAGGCTGGCTATAAATACTGGCCGAAGGCAAAAGAGAAAATCCATTATGAGGGACCCTTGAGGACACTGCAGCAGTTCTCAGTCTCCACTTGAAAACAAAACGAATCAAAGAGCAAAGATGACATCTCTTCACAGGCCCAACAGAAAAGGACTTACCTGTCTGTTGTGTTCTTTTGGGATAAGTCTTGCTGCGACTTCGTTCAATGCACTGGTCAGGCCGCGGGAGCTGCACGGAAGGGTCTCTGGTCATCTGCAAAGATGTCCTGCCACTTGAAAACCAACAAAATCACAGGAAAACACTTTGAAAAATGATCAAAACCAGTGGATCTTTAGACTGACAAAAAAGGCATGGGGTCTGGGCAGCATGTTTTGTTAGCTATTCACTTCTTATCCCAGCTCTGGTTCTCCTGCTGGGTAGCACTACCCTGACTTTTGTTTTGAATCAACCACTCGCAGAATCACCAACAGATTGTGCCAACCTCTTCTATATTTGGCATTTTCAAGAGGAGCTAAGCAACGAAAACAAAATGCTGGTTTATTAGGAACAGGCTAAGACAGAATGACCTTTGGTAACCCTGAATATTCTATCATATAACTTTAAGTAATGTGATTGCTTCCTGAATTCTTTTTGTGAGTTTTCATCTCAGGAAAACACATATTTAACATTGTTCAGTTCAGTCAATAAGGGGCTACTTCTCTGCCATGTGGAATGACAGCCTGAAGATGATGGAAAATCCCATGCAAAGCACACTGTAATAAAAGGACTCTCACTAACACGGGCCCAAATGATAATAAATTGAGTAGAAGCCCTGATTCCCATTTACAGTAAGGCTCTTCTTCATTGCACAATTTAAATAAGTTATTAAGTTTAAATAAATTCTATTACGCTCATTTAAATATTCCTCTCCATGTGACTAAGATGAATACAGTATTCATAGCAAAAATGTAAAACAGGCTAAATATTCCTCCCCAAAACTCCATGCTTGCTTCTGGAAAGTTACCACTCAAGAGAAGTGACTGTTACTACTAACTCCCAGTTGCTTAAACACCTGCAGTTTGATGACTTGGAAGTGAACAGGTATCATACTAGTAAGTGCCAAGCAACTATACAAGCATTACAAATGTAGATTTTCTTAATTATGCAAATAGAGTCCACTAGTTACTTATTGGATTTTCACCAACTGCCTCACAGGAGTAGTCAACACTGCAGAACTTTTATCTTCTCAAAATCTGTACAAGAATTAGAGGGGGAAAAAAACCCACTAATTCTAACATTACATCACAGTAATGCTATTTTTTTGATGTTCAGTTTAATTGATTTTTTTTGCTCCTAAGTTAGCCAGAAAACACTTCTGCTCAATTTTTAACTTCAGCAACCACGCCAGTCGTGCAAATTCCGGAAGCAGTTTTAATGAAAAATCTGGGGATAAGACCTTCCACTCACACTGACATCTCCTTGTATTAACCAAAGCATTTGATCTTAAGACAAGGAAATTGCTTTCCTGGAAACTGCCACCTAATGAGAAGTACCTAGAAGGTTAAAAAAAAAAAAAAAAAAGAACTCGAAAGATAATATTGTGGTCTTTAAACATATGCAGTCAAATGGTGGTTTCTGCTCTGAGCTAATGATGTCTGCAGATACACAACACTGTCACTGCTTTTGGTGCTACAACAGGGACCGAAGGCAAAGAGGGAAGACAATCAAAGCTGATGGATAAGCAAAGACAAGATTCTTGAAGCATACCAAAATGCTGTCACTGCTGCTCTGAATTCCAATAAAAGAGTTAACATGTCAATCATCAACTGATTATCACTATTTATCATTAACAACACGGTGCAACTAGATGTCACAACCCACATTTACTAGAACATTCACTCAGGTTAGGGGGAGTCCTCAAAAATCACTGCAGCAAAACAGGTAACACTTCATACTAGAAGGGAAATATATACTTTAATGTTTTCTAGACAAAACTAGCTTGATAAATATAGCTGTCAGTAATCACCATCATCCCAACGTTGCAAGCCGTATCACAGATCACCCGTGAAACTTATTAAAAAAGGGGAAATTAACGTAAATGCACCATCAACAGGAATGACTCAAACATGTTTAACTGTTTTTTTTTTTTTAATTGATTGGAAGGTCCTGGTAATTCTCCCCAGCATCAGTGCCCTGCTCCAATCCGCTGAAATGGTCCAACTGAGGAAACTCTCATCTGCAGTACTCTGGGAGGAATCCACTGAACTCCTGTCCACTTTCACAGATAGGGTAGTACAGCTCAGGATCCAGCTAGAAACCCAGAAGGCAGTACAGTCATCCCCCTATTATCTACAGCAAGGAGAAGCTGGATCATGCCAGATGATGTGATAAACCAAATAATCTGGATTATTACAAAATACGTTGGAGAAGATGGGACAGAAACACACAAGTGATCATGTCCAGAGACAGTCCAGATTCAGCCACATGAGCTCAGTCTCAGAGCTGGCACAGTCACCTCTCCATCAGTAACACCTTCCTTACAAGCAAGATCTTGCATCCAAGGCTAACAGACAGTTGTCTATGAATTCTGAGTGACTGAGGACAAGTGCAATAGAGCTGCTAGTACACACTGCTATTAGTACTCACCCAGATACTAACTCCAACCCAGGAGCTGCTAGACGAATTGGGGTTTATGGTTTTCTTGGGTTTAGAAATTACTTCCTAAGAAGTAGTGATAAAGAACTGCCTAACTAATGATTGGCAGCCATACTCATTACTATCCATGTAGTCCTTGAAGGATGGTGAAAATACAGACAGGAAAGAGAGAGAGACAGGCAAGCAAAAATAAACAAGCCTGGAATATTTGCAGGACATGGGAAAAAACTCTAGAATTTGCCATTATACTAAATAGGGCCTTTTCACCCAGCTGGTTCTAAATAACTGCAAAAGGTGAAAAACTATTTTTATCCCCACGTGACCAGTGGAGAAAATGAAAATGGAACGAGAAAGGGGCCTGGCTTTCAGATGTGGTTTTGCATTTGCTGCTTTCCACATTACCTTTCAGGTTCACTGAATACTCAACTCTAAAACAATTCTAAAAATCAGACCATAAATTATTTGGTTCAAAATCGCTCAGCCAACGTGACAAAACTGGATTTAAAACAGTGGCCGCCAATTGCCAAATCAAGTGTCTTACTCACTAGACAAAGATCCTGTCATTTTAACTGACTTAGACACATAAAGTCTCAATAAAACTCAGTAAAAACTACTGTGTTTCTGACATCTTGCAATCATAACTACATCTTACATTCTGCTAGTCCTTTGTGGCACAGCAGCTAGAGGATCTTAAACCCACTCTCCCTGACATGTCTTCCTCTGTATATCACTATTTACTGTCCTTTATGTCACAGGCTTGGTTAACCTGCTTGGTTAATACAGGCTAAAATTGAGACTAAGTGCTCCCTATACACCCTTAGTCTCAAGTTTACTGCATCTTTCAAGGCTTGCAGCCTTCAATGCTTATCCAATTTTGTCAGCTATTCCAGTGAGAAAAGATAACCCCATCTCTCTTCAGATCTGCTCTCCTTTCACTCTTCAATCAACAGCACTGCACCAGCAGAACCACTACAGGGTTAGACACAATCATTTGGGTCGAGAGCCCTTGCCATAGCTGAACTGCAGCTGTAAAGAGCAGCATCACAGTTACAGACTTTATACACTTCTTTGCTCCAACCCTTTGCTAATTCACAGAAGAAAGGCAGCAGCCAACATGCCTCCTCATTTTGGTACTCTCCAGTCGCCAGGAAAAACCCTTTAGGACATGAACATAATTTCAGAACTTATGAGGAGATTTGACTTAAAGCATTGCCAAGGCTGCTCTCACTTACACCACGGGCTACAGCAGGCCCTAGCCAGCTCTGGGGATCTGGAGAATTAGAAGTAATTTACATTTGTCCCAAAACTGCCAGACTTCCAACAGTAGTCTGTTAAAATGGTCCTGACTCATGCTTTGTCAGCAGAGCTCCTCAGAGTCATAGCCTGGGTGGGGTTTTTCTTTCATTGGAAGAAAACAGGAGAAAAGAAGGAAAGAAGAGGGAATTAACTGAAGTTTAAACAATTAAATATATTCACCTGTACCGATGTTTATAACCTATGGATCCAAACTTGCCGAATTTTCTAGACAGAGAGTTTGATTCATTCTCTGGCACTCTATGTAGTTTGAAAAATAAAACAACAGCATCAGTAACAAAGACAGTCACAATTACAGTCCCCTTCCCAAGAAGAGAGAAATACAAACTTTAGGTTCCAGAAAAATAATTTTTTTGCCAGTTCTTTATCCCTGCATCCAGGCAGAATCTCCTGGGGTTGAGAGTTCCACAAAGCCTCATGTGTATGCCCTCCACTTTTGACTACACACCTCTTTATTTCAGGGTGTGCTGTAAACTGCTGGCAACGGCAACTTTTCACTTAATATTTCACAGAGGCAGGCAAAAACATCATGCCACAGTAGTAAGACTGCAGTAGGGACCTTGAACTTACTCATTTACAGCACTGCTAAAGCCAGCCCCAAGCATCACATTGACCGGCTCCTAACAAGACACCCTTGCACATTTCTGTTACTGTTTTTGCAACAGCAAAATGAAGTGTTTTGAGATGTGTAATACTGGGAACTCAGTAAGTAAACAAAATATTATGGAAATTAAATAAGTCTTTCTATCAAAAAACAAAATTTCTGTGCACTGTAGGAAATAATAATATCTGAAATCCAACAGCCTCACTCAGATCAATGCTGCTACATTGAATTTCGATGTTTAAATATGTAAAAATTCATATGGCAGCTTAAATCCTGACATACATTTGTGGATACTTCTGTTAAAGCCTACTTTATGCAACCTGAGATACTGTTTCAAAAAGACTTCCAAGACAAAAGAAAGCACCAAACTACCCATTTTTAAAATTCCTGTTTCACATCCTTGTAACACAAGGGTAGGCATCAGCTTTTAGGAGCATTCTATAAGCAAGAGGAAAAATGTGTTTCCAGACAGCAAGCCTTTGTTACACCACTGTAGGTATAACAAGGTTCTTACTCAATGTGGTCTCCTTCCTGTTGGCAACGAAACCACAACTTCTGCATCACTCACCTGAAAAACGTATGATGTTCTACACAGCATTTCCAGAGATGTTTGCATGTGATCTTGTTACGTGCTTCAAAAAAGAAGGAAGTTTCGTTGCACTGAAAACAAAACCAAACCCATCAATATTGTTATAAAGGATTCTCCCAGGGAAGTGAATCTTCATTTACTAAACAAAAGAACTGACCAATCTCATATCAATATACATAAGAAATTATATCAGTATGAAGAAAAGCAGGCTCTGTAATTCTGTAGAATTCTTCATATATAGAAGGTTTTCTTTTAGGTTTCTCATTGCCAGAAAATAATTATTTAAATAATAAATTCCTTAGATATAAAAAACCAGAAGGGAAAGGATATTACTTTTGTTCATTCATTCTTGTTCACATTTTTTCCTAATTATCAGATATTTTTCATAATTAAAAAGCACACAGATAGCAGATTTTTTCCCTAATTAAAAACCACAAAGGTTTTTTTTTTCAAATAGAATTTTGCTGATGTTTTCTGAAACTGCACCTCAGATGTCAACCAAAAATATATTCCCAAGGCTCTGTTTAACAGTATACAAAAAGGCAAGAATGAGTGAAAGAAACTCAAGATTTGTGGTAAACTAATATGGAGCAGAAAACAGAGCAAATGCACAAAACATACATGTAGAGAAGAACCAAAGCAAAAATGGAAAGAAAAAAAGATTAGCTAACTTCAAAATAATTCAAAATATTAGGAAAAAGGTCAAAGGTAAAAGCCATAAAATCCACCTTAAAATCTCTTAAGGAACACAACGAAAAAGAACATCCGAAGCTTAAAACCTCATCACTGGACATTGGCAGTCAGTAGAGTAGACATGAGGAAAAGGCAGGGAGAAATTAAAGACATATACAAACTATAACATACTTCCAACAGACACGAAGAAGCAACAGACACATCACACTGTTTCCAGGAAAGTAAACATTCAACTGTGCTCACACCAAGCACACTTCCATGTATCTGTCACTCAGCTTAAGCGCTCAGCTCTGGGCCTGTGATTTGCACAAAGAACGAGCAGTCCCACTGACTTCAGTGTGAGCCCTCAGCGTGGTACACCACCGCCTGTAACAAAAATGAGTCCTGAAACCACTTCCCCGACACCTGAATTACAAAGGGGGTATGATTCAGACTGCTGTCGACAGCTGGTTTTAGCAGAAGGACGCCGGCGCGTGAGCTGTACTTCTGCAGCGCCAGGTCTCTTCATTTAATGAGGTATGGTGACCTGCAAGCGCCCCGCAAACTGCGAACTAATCCAGTATGTTCTCTAGAATCCAAAATATCACCTCCAACGAAAACCAATTACATCTCTATTAACAGCTGTCAGGCGGCCTCACAACATCACAAATTACCTGCTCAAGCAGCCTTTCCTCCACCCTGAAACAAGTAACAGTAAAAATGACAGAATGTGGCACCCATGGGTAGAATAATTGAAATTTCATTCCCTGATGGGGGGAGGGAGCCAAAACCAAAACAAACCCAACAACAACAAAAAAACCCCACAACAAATTGGAGACATACATGTGAGCTTATTTCCTCCCATGGATTAATTTAGTTACTTTAATGGCTGGCTGTAACAGTCGCATGGAATATCCAAGGAATGAAAATCATCCTCTAGTTTTCTCTCAAAGGCACATTTTCCTCTCTAGGGCACCACAGCAAGAAGGAGGAGTACAGTAAGACATACGGCCACTGAGAATCCTGAAAACTAGGATTTATGTGAGATTGCTATGCACAGTAAAAAAAATCATTACATAGTACATTAGTCCCATAAATATATTCCTACAGTTCCTTAAAATTCCATTTCAGGCCTGATAGGGATCTTCATCCCTCTGCAGGATTCACAAGGGATTTGACCTGAAGCAAAAATAAGTTTAATTTATAAAAAGTAAAATCAGAAACTTAAAAACTCTTCTACAACAGAAAGAAAAGAAAATCCAAGTAAATCGTGAAAAAAGAAAAAAAAAAAGCTTCCTGGAGAATCTTGAAGATTGTCAAGGAGAAAAACCCATTTATACTAAACATTTCAAGAGTAACCATACTGCTCTTGCTCCTCTGGCAACCGGAACCAAGAGTCTACCCATGGAAAGACCACACTGCATTTTTACATTTTTAAAGTTTTAAAGAAGACATGACAACTGCTACATTTCATTTGCTTATTTTACACATAACAGAAATATAGCTTCAGATTTTATGATTTAATTTACACTACAATTTCTAGATCAGACTGTCATCCAATGAGATTTCATCTAGGCCCATACAACTGTAGTCACCAATGCACTTTTAAAGAATAGTATCAGATGAAGCCTGTGGTGTTGCAGAATTTCTGCAATATGATGAGTCAATTCAACTTCTGTTAGGAAAGAGCTCAATGACTCAATATGCAGGATCTTGCTCCTTCATTGTCCACTCCTAAATTTACTTTCAGGCAAAGAATCCTCTGCTGCACTTAAAGTTATTTAGTTACATAATCTCAGAGTTTGCGGATGGGCGGAGAGAAGCGAAGGGTGTTTTGGGTTGTTATTAAACAACCGTTTTTTAAAATGAGGCATTTCTGCCGTATCTTATTAGTAACCCAGTTCAAATGCCACTGGAATTCAGGGAAGATCCCTGTCCCAGAAAAGGTTCTACTCATCCACTTTTTCTTCTTTCTCTAGGTTAGTTTTTAGTATTTTCCCATATACAGAACAAATGGCACATAACACATGAAAATCAGTAAGTGACCAAAAGAGGGACAGTATACCTACACTGCCATATGATTGAAAGATCTGACCCATCATTTGAAGGTATTATTACCTAGAGTGGAAGAAAGCTCATCTCAGCTAGCAATAAAAAAAATATGACGATTAACTACATGCTGAAACATAGAATCATAGAATCATAGAATCATAGAATGGTTAGGGTTGGAAGGGACCTTAAAGATCATCTAGTTCCAAACCCCCTGCCATGGGCAGGGACACCTTCTACTAGACCAGGTTGCTCAAAGCCTCATCCAGCCTGGCCTTGAACACTTCCAGGGATGGGGCATTCACAACATCTCTGGGCAACCTGTTCCAGTGCCTCACTACCCTCTCTGTGAAGAATTTCTTCCTGATATCTAATCTAAACCTCCCTGATTTCAATTTACACCCATTACCCCTTGTCCTATCACTACAGGCCCTTGTAAAAAGTCCTCTCCCAGCACCCTTGTAGCCCCTTCAGATACTGGAAAGCTGCAATGAGGTCTCCTGGGAGCCTCCTCTTCTCCAGGCTGAACAAGCCCAGTTCTCGCAGCCTTTCGTCATAGGAGAGGTGCTCCAGCCCTCTGATCATCTTCGTGGCCTCCTCTGGACTCGCTCCAAGTGGTCAATATCCTTCTGATATTGAGGGCTCCACAGCTGGACGCAGCACTCCAGGTGGGGTCTCACCAGAGCAGAGTACAGGGGCAGAATCACCTCCCTCGACCTGCTGGTCACACCTCTCCGGATACAGCCCAGGATACGGTTGGCCAATCAAAGGGACTCGGGAAAAAACACCATAACCCCATAAATCCAATTTATCAACAGGTTATGGAATCCAGATTTGGAAAATTAAACAACTGCCTAAATATCAGGGTTGGTCACAAGCTTTCTGATAATACACTGAGGTTTATTTATTGGAATCTGAAGGAAAAGTACACGTCTCAGTGCTATGGCCACAGAATGGATGCTTGCAGTAAGTCAAATAGCACAGTTAAATTTTACTAAGGAGAGAGAAAGAAAGCCTAAATTATTCACCTCCAAGGCCTTTCACCAACACAGAGCAGAAAATTCATAATTCTTTTACCACTTTTAATTTTTTTCCAAAGGATTCAGTAACTTACTGCAACTAAGCCCAAAGCTTCCTCTATTTACTTTTTCAGACTATTTAAGGCTTGCAAGAGTACTGTGATCACCCTCACAACGCATAAATGCATATATAAAAATTAAGCAGTACTGAAGGCAGTAGTATCTTCCAGGTTTAATCTTTCTCCCCAAAGGGAATAAATTGATTTGTATGGGTAAAGCAAGCTTAACACCACGAACTTTTGTTTGCAATAAAAGGCAACATTTTTAGCACCTTGAACAATTTAATTTCTTACAGGTAGTGAGAGTTAACTGAGGTTTTTTTCTTCTTTTTCTATCTGAACCAAAAGAAACAAAGACCTATTGTACTTCTACTAATGATTTATAGGAAATGACAGTTCCAAAGTCATTCAGTGTTGTTTGGTGCCTCACAAGCTATTCCCCGCTGCTCATCCTGTTGCTTTCAGAGTGCCCAGTGTACTAAAGGTGAGGCAGTATAAACCGTGAAGGCTCACTGCTGCCAGAGCACTCCTGGTGGTCTGCACACTCTGAAGATCTCCCCTCTCCTTCGAGCCAGCTTTGGTGTCCAGGGAGCCAGCTGTGCTCACCAGACAAGCAGAAAACCACTTATTTTTGTACAGTGATTTTTGATTATGTCTGTGACTCACACCGGCAAGGGAGGGGGAGGATGACATGGACAGAGGCTGCAAAAGGACAGGCATAACCCTTGTAGCATTACCTAGTTGTTGAGCTGTTTGACCACCTTCTCCTAATACTGAAAATAACAAGACACCAAAAAAAAAAAAAAAGAAAAAAAAGAAAAATGTGAGGACAAACCTAAAAAATCTCTCTCCTTTGAAACAGTTTAAAAGCTCGTCCTGCATTCTCCAAAACATGCTAAAGCTCACACTGCCATAGCCTCACCAACATTTTTACCCAAGGGAGGGGAGACAGACTAGGACAAGGGATGCATATAGCCAGACTACACTACAAGCTTTTAAGTACACTCCAACATGTAGCCACAGCCCTTATCCGTTTTATGCTGCCTTTCAAATCAGCCAGAAGACCGGCCTGGCAGGGCCTCTGAGATCTCCACTGAACAGCTGGAAATTGGTACAGTGCTCCACCATAACCCGCCCCCTCACTTAACCGAAAGCATGTTACTAATGCCTTCAAAGGAGACAAGTCAGGGGTTACCGAGTCACAGAATCATCTAGGTTGGAAAAGACCTTTGAGATCACCGAGTCCAATGGTCTTTGCTGGTCCTCGCTCTA